CACCGTTGTAATACTGAGTTGGAATTTGTGCCAATACACATTTACCTGACTCTAATTTCGTGTTTATTACAAACCCTAGGTTTATATATAGTTGGAATGATTTTTGTGGGCATGAATGGTTGTAAACAAAAACAGTTCACGGTTCTTACTAGCTGTTCTACGTGGTGGCCTACGTGTGAACGGCAGCGTACTCTTTCGTCACGAGAGGTCAGAGTATGTATGTGTAGCGTGACTGTTTATCTGTCTGCTGACATAGTGACTCTTGCTAGACATTTTTCGTGTCTTTGAATGAGTTGGCTGGTGCTCGACCCACGGTCACACTGACCTGTTGCTATCGTGTTTGTTTGCTGTTAGTGGGCAGGTCTCAGTCGGTAACTAAACAATGACTTTTGTGACATTATCTGTGGGTACAATGTAGTGTTATCAGGAGTGAACTAATAGTAGTTCTATAAATAATAATAATCTATTATTATTCACTCCTGGTGTTATCCTATGTACGTCTAAATTACACAATCAAACACAGGATTTTATGATGGGTCGACATGTGTCATAACAGAAACGTGTGAATGTGTAATATTGCTGGCATATATGTACTATATATGACATTAAATAATGCTCTCTTAGTGGTTGCTAGGTGTTGCTCGGCAACAAGTGATACTACTTTGTTTATTATTAGATGTCGCTTAGCAATAAGTGCATGATGCTCACATGTTGCTTGTCAAATGTTGCTCAGCATCAGATGAAGTTCTCTTGTTTATTGTTAGGTGTCGCTTGGCAACAAGGAGGCAGTGGTTAGATTTGATGAGAGCATGACATCGGCCATGGAAATCACTGATGGCATAGAGAACATGGGCTTTGAGGCAGAACTAGAGTGCCACCTGGTGAGAAGAGTCATCGCTGTCGAGGGCATGACATGTCAGTCATGCGTTCAGACGATCCAACACAAGGTCGTAGCTCTGCAGGGTGTGCATTCTGTGCAGGTGAGTTATGCAGAGCATCACAGCTTAATACTCTACACATACTCTGCCAGTCTGTTAACAAACATCGCCATATACTGAAGCGATAGGGCATTCAGCTTTGCGATGCAGGGTATAAATGCCAATGCTTTGATGTGATTCTTTTTAAGAATTTGGTCAAAATAGAGACAGAGACAAAGAGACTATTAGCCCTATGTAATAAAGTGTCTACAGTCCTATAGGCTATGCCTTATCTAGTGCAGAGTTTAACGTTTGATGAGGATGTGTCAAATCATTACCTTGTTCTTTCTGTTGTGAATCATACATAGACAGACTAGAAAATGTTCATTGTGTATGCTTATTACACATGCACACATATGCACGCACACACACACTAACGCTGAAGGGGTCGTTGTCGTATCAGGTACTGCATATATGTACCCGAGGTACATATATGTATACACAAAGTATACCAGACTTGTACTACAGAAGTGTACCTTAACCCTAACCCTAACCTTAACCCTAACCCTAACCCTAACCCTAACCCTAACCCTAACCCTAAACATACCTCATATAAAAATATAAACATAATACTAAACAACCTAAAACTACCTCGGGTACATATATGTCAGGAGTACCTGATACGACAACGACCCTTCGTGCCACACTAGCCTCCTTGCAATAGCTGTAATTGCATTTTTGGCTCCATTCCTAGTCATCAACGGCAGAGACAAGGGCATATAGACTAATTTCTATAGACTAGAATGCGTGTGTGCATCTGTGTGTATGCGTGCATGTGTGCATCTTTGGGTTTGCGTTTGAACGTACGTGCACGCGTGTGTCCGTGTGCACGTACAGTGAGTGAGAGTGTAGGGAAGATGGGTAATTGTGTGTTTGTAAGTTCGTGTCTGTTCAACCTTGACTTATAGCCCCTATACGTCTTTAGGTCTGACACTATGTGTGCTGTTAAACAGTCTGATGTCACAGGCGTGATCACGGAATGTTTCCGTTTATTGGAATATCTACTCTAGTGATTTATATTTGGTATAAAAATCCCCATTATTTATTTAATGTTCATGTTGATCCGTCTATACCAAGGAAACAAGTATTTTCTCTAACTATTTTATGGAAGGAGGGGAGAGAAGGAAAGGAAAGTAGGAAGGGAACAAAACAAAGGCATTGTGTCTGCATGTGTGCGTGCCAGAGAGAGGGGGTGAGGAATAGAAGAAGAGCAGAAAAATTAGTGGATGACAGAGAGAGAGAGAGAGAAGGAGAGAGAGAGAGAGAGAGAGAGAGAGAGGAGAGAGAAGAGAGAAGAGAGGAGAAGAACGAGAGGAGAGAGAGAGAGACAGAGAGAGAGCAGAGAGAGAGAGAGAGAGAGAGAGAAGAGAACGAGAGACGAAGAAGGAGAGAGAAAGAGAGCAGAGAGAGAGACGAGTGAGAGAGAGAGAGAGAGAAGAGAGAGAGAGAAGGAGCAGAGAGAGAGAGAGCAGAGGGAGAGAGAGAGAGAGAGAGAGAGAGAGAGAGAGAGAGAGAGCGAGAGCAAAAGAGAGAGAGACAGAGAGAGCGAGAGAGGATGATTGAGTGTGAGTAAGACTCAGAGTAGACGAGTAAGGGGTGAAGAGCAGTGAGATATATTTGATTGTGAGTAGTACATTAGTGCTGACATTTAATGTTTTTTATCACCCACCAGGTATCCTTGGAGACCAAGATCGCAACAGTAACATACGATGCGAAGATAACAACTACGGATGCTGTCATGACAGCGATTGATGAGACAGGCTTCATTGCCTCTCTCATACAGTCCAAGCTAGAGCAGGTAATAGCAGCATTCCTTCATAGTGATTCGTTGCCTCTCTTGTACAGCCCAGGCTAGATTAGGTAATAGCATTAGTCCTTCACAGTGATTCGTTGCCTCTCGCATACAGCCCAAGCTAAAGCAGGTAATAGCATTAGTCTTTCATATTGATTCGTTACCTCTCTGATACCGCACAAGCTAGAGCAGGTAATAGCAATAGTCCTTCATAGTGCTTTTATGCATCTCATACAGCATAATAAAGCCCACATTCAATCCTTGAGAGTACATTGCTCCACAAGAGAACTGCCATGCCACGATCAATCAGCGGCTGTTGTGGCGCGTGATTAGACGTTCCACGTACATTAACCAGGTCGTCAACTTGGGCATTACCCATGATTATAATTTCACACAGAATCCATTTACTTGTTAGGCGGCTTATACCATGTAATCAGTCATTCCGGTCTACTGTGGGAGTTAGGTATTAGGGGTGTGACCATGTTGTGATCCGGTGTCCTGACATTGTGGAGTAACACGAGAAATCGATTGAGATAACAAACCAACATTTGCCTACAGATTTCTGTTACAATTAACCAATTGGGTCTTTATTGTACAAATAAGGGGAAAGGTGTGACAGAACGTGGACAGAGGGTACAATTCGTTTTGCTTGAAGAAATGTAGGCTTCAGTACACAATCTATTTATCCGAAATTCTGAAAACCGAAAAGCTCCGAAAACCGAAAGTTTTTTCGTGGAGATCGTCTGTATACCAAAGCTCACGTTTGGCTGGACAAGGTTCACTGCAGAAATATTAATGTTTTTGGCATTACTCATACATATTGTACTGTACCAGTACAGCACTTGGCATCTTGAAAACTTGGGTTTTAGTACTGGCTAGTTGTAGGATATACGGTATGTATATATCTGTACTGTACTACCATTCCGAAATTCGAAAAATTCCGAATTTCGAAACGTGTCTGGTCCCAAGGGTTTTGGATTTAATGGATTGTGTACTGTACAAGACTACAATAAAATGCTGACAGTACATGATTCCTTAACAACTGCTGACCCACTGTTATATATATGTATTGCTCTCTTCGCTGTCACTGATGCCTCCAAGAACATGCGTCTCCAAGCTTACATTTGTTCTCTGACACATACAGTCACATGTGCAAGTCCGAGTGGAGGGAATGACCTGCCAGTCGTGTGTCAACAGCATACAGGATGTCATTGGCAAGATGCCAGGTGTCACCAGCATTGTCGTGTCTCTCAGCAAGAAGCTGGCATTTGTTGATCACATTCCATCGGTCGTCTCAGCAGACGACTTATGCAGCGCGATCAATGACATGGGCTTCGATGCCGATCTTGCATCAGCGCCACCTACTGACACAACAGCTGTAGCTACAGTCGAGACCACCGGTGATGCCACTTGTTTTGTGATGATAGAGGGCATGACCTGTCAGTCGTGCGTGAAGAACATTGAAGGTCACATTTCGTCCGTGAGTGGAGTGAGAAATATCTCCGTCTCCCTGAAGCATAAGTGTGCCACCGTGATGTACGACAGTGGCGCCATCTCTGCAGCCAAAGTCACCGACATGATCGACGACATGGGTTTCATAGCAACGCTGTCGGACGCCCCGATCGTAGCACCACCTGGTGTGAAGACGCAGGACGTGTCCCATCTGAACGTGCCAACAGGAGATGTGGAAACTTATATGTTGGAGGTAACAGGCATGACGTGCAAGTCCTGTGTCAGGAAAATAGAAGGTGAGTGATCTTAAACACATTCTAATCTAATGATGATGGTAACTGTGTGGTGGTAGGATGTTGAGTCTGTCATGAATGGTGAAATAATTTTCTTCGTTTGTGCCATCTACTGGTCTACATTGATGTTTTCTCTTGGTCTCCAAAAATGCATGACTTGCGATGTAATTAGGCAGTAGCTATTTTGTTTTCTACAATAAGGAAGTGGGTGGGAGCTTGTGATGTGGTTGTTGTAGTTTGTGAAGAAGGAGGAGGAGGAGAGCGTGACATATGTACGCATGTGTGTGTAAGGGAGGATCAGAGTGTGCTGTTTGTGCATCTAACAGAATAGAACTTAGAAGGATGGCTTGATGTATGTACATGTGTTACAGAGTATATGAGAGAGAAGAAAGGAGTGTACGTAGTATTACAGAGCATGTGATGTAGGAAGAGGGAGTGTATGTATGTGCATGTATTACGGAGTGTGTGAGGGTGGTAGAGGGAGTGTATGTATGCGCATGTATTACGGAGTGTGTGAGGGTGGTAAAGGGAGTGTATGTAATGTATGTACATGTGTCACAGAGTGTGTGAGGGAGGAACAGGGAGTATAATTTATGTATGTACATGTATTACAGAGCGTGTGAGGGAGGAGGAGGGCGTGATCTCGGTGGCAGTGTCGCTACAGGAGGAACAAGCCATTGTTAAGCTGAATCCGCATGTGACAAGCATTGGCAATGTACGCATGACCATCAACCAGATGGGGTTCATGGCTTCTCTACCGGGTAAGCGAGCCAGTCCTGCACAACCACGTACCTGTCGTCGTTACTGTAATCATTGTTGCTGTCATTGCTGTCGGTGGTGATGATGTTGTTGTTGTACTTCTAATCTTCTTCGTGGTGGTGGTGGTGGTGGTGGTGGTGGTGATCTTGTTGTTGTTGTTGTTGATGTTGTTGTTGTCATTGTTGTTGTTGTTGTGTTGCTGTTGTTATGAGTGTTGTTATGGGATATTTTGCTTTCATTCGTGTTGAATTTGCATATTTCATGATTGCAGGCAGTCTTCAAATTGCTCGCAGCGTCTCATTCCAAAAGCTTCCCTTAGTTGACCGCAAAGAAGTGAAGCAGGTAAACATCTACTAAACCCTGCCAAGATGTTTTTAACTGCATTTGACATGCATAGAAGTGCAATTGTAATATGTCACGAGTGCATACACCTGACAACAGTTCGATTCAATGTGAATTTTTAGCTCACCTTGACATCGTCAAGCTAAGCTATTGCCATGGGTCGTCGTCCGTCCGTCCGTCCGTCCCTCCGTCCGTCCGTTCGTCAACATTTGGCTACGGTCAACGATAACTCAGGAACCGTTTGACTCACATGTTTGAAATTGGGTATAGTTGTTACTGCTATGCTCCCATTATAAACGTCTTATTTTAGAGCACGCCAGTCGACGTACTTTCGAGCCACGGGAATTTTTTGGCAAAAATGGGAATTGTCATTAGTCAGTTCAGGTTCAACGGATTTTGCTCATTTTTGGTATGTGAATGAATAAGGGCTAGGGGTTTTTGGATATTAAAAAAAAATTATGCAAATTAGGTAGGGTTTGGCAATTATATAGCATATTATATAGACACACAGATAACAAACAGTCTGTGGTGTCACACTCGTCTGGTTCGTTTTACAAGATTTCATTGACAATATCTTTAATGCAAAATTCCTGCTATGAACATATTATGATTTATACTATTATTATTATATTATGATTATGATATAATGATTTATGCTAAGAAACATCAAACTGGGTATAGCGCCATCTACCGTCACAAATTGTGATTCATTTTTGTTTATAAATTATTTATAATTTATATATAATATTATTTATTATTTTCACATAAAAAATTACACATAATTATCAAGAGTATATAATGGGAGTTCTCCCATATATACTCTTTGTTTCTATAATGTACGTCGATGGTTGCTCAATTAAAACTGACCTCTTCTCACTCACTAATTTGCGTCCTTTTTTGTGGTGAGCTACAGTGTCATTGTCACTTTTATTCAGTACAACATTCGTTATTGCCAGTATCGTTTTATCGAAGATGGATTATGGATGAAAACCAAGAAAAATGTACATTTTATTAAAATTTGACTATACTGACAGTTGTTATTGAAATACTGTAAACATTGCAATAAAATTGCAGTAATCAATAGATTGCAGTGATTGCAGTGCTTGCAGTGATAATTGATGAACTAAGTCACCTCAGCTTTAGGTGTGGTAGTTACATCTAGTTTGTTTTCAGCAGAATGGTGGAACGGTGGAGGTGTCATTGGAGGATATTGAGAAGTGCCATCTACAGGTAACAGGCATGACCTGCGCCTCCTGTGTAGCATCCATTGAGAAGAATCTAAAGAAGATGGAGGGTATGACTATATATACATTGGGCCTCTACCCCTTCCCCCTCCACCTCCTCCTAGTTATCTTCTCCGTGCTCTACCTGCTTGCCTTCTTCCTCCTTTTCATCCTCCCCCATCATCATATGTCTCCTCTTTCCCCCCCCCCTCCTCCCTTCCTTCTCATGCTCCTCATCATCCTTAACCTTATCCTTTTTATTCTCCTCATCCACCCTCTGCTCTACCAGGTCCTCCTCCTTCTCATTCTCTCTTTCCTTCTCCTCTCCTCCTCGCCCTCCTCTTCTTACTCCAGCAACCCACAGATATAAGTAATTGATCAGAGTCGCTCTTTCTCACCGGGGTTCAAATCTCTTTAATAGACAGCTTGCTTCCCCTTGCAATCTGATAATCATTGTGACATCGGTGTCTGTTGCACGATGCGTGATGGTCATGTGTTTACAGGTATACATGATGTACTTGTGGCATTGATGGCATCCAAGGCAGAGGTGAAGTACGATCCATCCTACGTTCTCCCCCAGCAGATAGCTAACCATGTCATCGACCTAGGCTTCGGCTGTGAGGTGCTGGAAGAGGGAAGCCCTGGTGAGGAAACGATAGAGCTGCTGGTGAGTGCATTCCTAATCATCCCTAACCCTAACTGTTGACCCTTGACATCAGAAACTGATCCCAAACCCGATTTCTGACACTGCACTTCAATGATTTGAAACACAGTGATGGTTTAGAGAGCAACCAAGTACGAACCTGGGATTGGTGGTTGATGCGAGTTAGAGCTAGAGTTAGATCGTAGGCGTGACTGCTATATAAAGACACTGTACACATCTGTATTTGAGTGAGGTGTGGTGAGTATATTGCTTGATGCTATTTCTGGGCAGCCCAGATTTCTGGCAGCCCTCTCGCACCTTCCGAAAATGCCCATCCCCACCTAGAACCTATCAGACTCTCTCCAGCTATCCCACCTGCTCTCACGCCCTCCCACCTCTCCCAGCTCCTCCCAGATCCTTCATTAAACCTCTTCAGCATCTATGTGACATTCATTTAATTATCTTGCTTATTTTACTCGCCTGCAGATCAGAGGGATGACCTGTGCATCGTGCATACACACCATAGAGTCACGTGTTGCTAAGGTGAACGGTGTCAACTCTGCTGCCGTCTCCCTGGCAACGTCCATCGGTGTTTTCAAATTCAATCCAGAGGTTACGGGACCACGCAATGTTATCAACGCAATAGAGGTAGTACCTGTAGTGCCGCAATAATGCTACTACTGTTCAATGTAATGATCATGTATAGTATCTGTAGTGACATATTGCTATCCACACATGCTATTTAAAAACTAGACCATCATAATATTGTGATTATAATGTGGATGCCTATAATTTCATTGAGGTATCTAAATATCTTGAGTTAACAAGTAGTTTGTATGATAATAGATATGTAATCAGTGACTTGATGGATGCAGTCATACATACGTTGTAATACGTCTCAAGTCGTACCGGGCATGAGATTGATGCATAGCTGGGCGTCAGTCAGTTCTCTGCACACGCTATACACTAAGTGTTGCTATGTTCTCCAGGATTCTGGATATTCTGCTGAACTAGTGGAGAAAAGTAAAAAGTCGAATATTGCCTCGCTGGAACACAAGCGAGCCATTGCACAGTAAGTAACCTTGTGTAGAGATGCCATCACATAGGAAGTTGACTAACACAAATATTTATGAAAAGCCAGGGATGACCGAGGCTACCCTCAAACATTCTAATTAATGAGTTAGAGAGAAAAAAAGTGATAATATTTTGGTTTTGTTTCTTGCAGGAGTTTAATTGGGGGATAGGTTTATGCGAAACAATGAATCTGTTACAGGTAGTCAGGGGCTAATGCAGGGGCAGTGAAAATAAAATTAAATGCAGGTGACATTTATTATGATTGAAGTCATAGCTTATAATGTTGTGGTCTGTGTGAATGCCTGCAGGTTGGAATCCAAGAAATTGCAGCAGATGTAGTTGCTGCAATCATTATTGCTTATGTTGTATTGCTGAAAAATGTTATCAGTGATGCTTATTGTCTGTCATTGTATCCCCCGCGACGAAGTCGGCGGGGATACTATGGTTTCATGTCTCCCCAGCCGCCGGTCGCGGTCCGCCACCCGCAGAAGATATTCCCGTCCGCTCTAGTTAAACTTGACCCCTAATTGACCTATGCATTGACCGAAAACATTGGTAATAATTACAATTTGGGGAGGAGGTGAGCGCAGCGTACCGAAAGACCAGAGTCACTGCGCACCTTTTATTATGACCTTTACACTTATGACCTTAATCATATTTCCGTTCCGCTCTTCGTAACTCGTCCCGCCTAATTGACCTAGCGGCTACCAAACTTGGTTATACTACACATCTTGGGGAGAAGGTAAGCAGCGTACCAAAACCAAGGTCACTGTGACTTATATTTGAACGCTTTACTTTGACCTTGAATCATAATTTCGCCTTCCGCATCTCTAAGCTCGGCCCCTAATTGACCTAGCGCTATCCAAACCACGGTCAGCTACGCACCGTTATTTGACCTTTTACCTGATCCTTGATCATATTCCCTTTGCCCTTCGGCTCTATAACTCGGCCCCTAATTGACTAGACGCTTAACCAAACTTGTATACCTTACCACATCTTGGGCGAGAAGCGTGTTTGTTCACGTATCAAAACAAGTCACGCAACTTTTATTCTGACACTTGACCTTGACCTTGATTATATTTTCCTTCCCTCTATAACTCGCGCCCTAATTGACCTGTAGCAGCGACAAAACTTGGTACTCTTACACTCTGGGGAGTAAGGTGGTGGTCGCGTACCGAGAAACCAGCGTCACTGCCAACCTTATTTGACGGCTTGAACCGTTTGACCGTCATCAATTTTCTCTTTCGGCTCTATACTTGCCACTTAATTGACTAGCGTGACAAACTTCGTATACTTACACATACTTGGGGATAAACACGGGGGATACATGTAGTTTGGGACAACATGCCCTTTATTAGTTATTAGATTGTGCATCAAGTAATGCTACTCGTTACTGTTTGTTCACAGGCTGGAGAACTTCATTCTTTATTAAGCCTTTGGCTTTC